AGGGTTTTGTGCTTGCCAGAAGTGGTCTATCACTTGACCACAATCCCCAGTCCACACTAGGTTACTTATAATAGCTAAGACAATGTAAATGCTACATAAAGAGCTGTTATTCTGTATTTTAAAGGAATACTGACAAGGAAATAAAATCTGTAACTTTCAATACAGACACAATTTTTTTTTCCTAGAATATTTTTGATCCACTGTTGGATGCAGAACACACAGGATACTGGCTGGGGGCCTAGCATTTATTACCAAGGTCCATCCAAAGAAGGCACACATCAAGCAGAAAAACCAAGACAAGTTTTTCAGTATTCTGGTAGCAGAATATTCTGCGGAGGAATAAACACAGGGCTGGCCACAGATGCATTTAATCTCAGCATTGCTGCAAGCCGGCTGTGTGATCCTGCTCAAGTCACTTGATGTTTGGAGATTTCAGATCTCTCACGATTCATGGGTTTCCAGATCTAACTGGACAGATGAGTTCCTGCTTATCTTGTTCAACGAAAAGGAAACAAAAACCCTTCCACCTGCCTCCAGCAGTAGCTGTTGAGAAATCTGAATTCTTTGAATCTAGCTAATTTTGTCTAACTTTCAGGTTTACACAACAGCACAAACTATCAGATACTGCAATGCTATCTCTTTTCTCAAAAGATAATGAAGGGACTGGTGGAGTGGCTCCAGTGGTAGAGTACCTGCCCAGCAAGCGTGAGGCCCCAAGCTTAAACTCCAGTGCCACCACACACACACACACAATGAATTTTTTGAACTGGCTCCGCATTTCCCTTGGTGGAAATTCTGTCAAGCTGGACCGAGTTGCTACCTGGGAGGCAGGGGAACTGTATAGTAGGTCCCCCTTAGCCACAGCAGATGCATTCCAAGATGCCCAGTGGATGCCTGAAAATGCATGGATAGTACTGAAACTTGTTTTCCTATCTGCCTTGCAGCATTGCTAGTTAATCTGTCCTTCCATGCTTTATGCCCTAGTGCCTCCTTTATCCCTACACCTGTGTTTTGAGGCCATTATTTAAAAAAGGCTCTTGTGAACACAAGTAATTAGATACTGTGACAGTCAATATGATAACCAAGATGGCTACTAAGTGACTAATGGGCAAGTGAAATACACAGCATGGGTACGCTGGACAAAAGAGTGATTTATGTCCAAGGACAGCGTGAAATTCATCATGCTATTCAGAACAGTAAGCAATTTAAAAAACTTAAGAATTGTTTACGCCTGGAATTTTCACTTAATATTTTTGGACCAAAGTTGACTATGGAAAGCAAACGCATGGGTAAGGAAGACTCCTCTTCGCTTTTCCATTGCCTTAGCTCATGTGGATTATTACATCTATGTTTGTGTGACAGAGAAAAACGTTATAGGTAAAGGAAACACAATGGTAGGGGGAGAGAGATATAGGAAATAAAAAGAGCAGTTTCAGCAATTCTCAATTTACAGCTAATCTTGTTTCATTTTTATTCCCATTTTCCTGCCCCATAAATTTGAAAAACAACATTCAATTTCTGGGAGGTAGGAGTGTTGGGGATTGCAATCTGTGCATGCTAAAGCACACACTACTACAGAGCTATGTGCTAGTTCAATTTTATCCAGAAATATTTCAGTAAATGTCTTTAAAATAACTCTAATTACAACACCAGTTAAACATAAAAATTTAACTGTAACTACTTAACTTCATTTTAACTTATTTTGTTGAATAAACTCTGCTTAGTTTCCTGGGGATCTGGTTCAGGCCTGACCCTGTTAGGACTGCTTGGGTGGCGTGTACTAATCAGCAGTAGTGTCCGCCTGGTGTATTGTGTCCTTTATATAGAATTGACATCTAAGTCCATCATTCATGATATACTTCACATTTCTTCTTCTCTTACCAGCTGGCCTTTTGCTATACAGAAAGAGCTCCCCTGAGGGTTTATCAAGGGTAGCACAGATGACTCTTTTTACTTACTAGTTTTCAAAGCAGGAGGTTGGATCCCTGAGATACTCTAAATGGGATCAAATGCTTATTTTTTATTTTTAAAGAATTATGAAGCTATGGACTTAAAACATATGGGGTGCATTTTATCTCACTGTAGCTTTATCCTAACTGATACTCTAATTGTCTCAAATACTTTTAAACCAGTTCCTCCTTCATCATGGTCAAACACTCAAACACCTAATTACGGGACAGTGTCACCTTCTGCTCAGGAAAGGAACTTGGTTTTATTCAGATCTACACTCATCACCTCCTGAGTAGCTCATCTTCTGTGAAAACAGAGGAGGGACATTTCTGGAGAGAACAAGGCTCAGAAAAGCAAAGCATTTCAAAGCTAGGAACATGGTATCAAATTCAAAGTACTTTACAAAAACATACTTGTATTTATATTATCGTGAAGAAAGTGATATCCAGAATAGTCAAATGTGTTAGTTACAGTGTGACTTAGAAGAACAGTCAGAAGTGTGGAAAATAATAGTTTTTGACTGTTATTTACAGAGCAAGGGTAGTTATCAGTTCGAGAATCCATAGAGAAAAAGCAATTCCTGGCTCTCCAGAAAAATACTGGTCAGGACATAATTGAGCGATTTGAACTTGGAGTCCACAGAGGTTTGGAGAATATCCCACAGTTTGTGGATATGTAAGTGCACATACACATGTTCTGGAGAAAGGTGGCATAACTTTTATGACAGCCTTACAATACTCATGAACTAAAGTGCAAGTACCAGTGCATCTGAGTAACCATGCATACATGAGATCCTGATGCTCAGATGTGCAGGGAAAAAACCAAAGTCCTCTGGAGCCAGAAGTTCTACATTTTCTCTGGATCTAGGGCGATTCATTTGTGAGGACACATGGACAAAGGAGCATTACTCTTTGCAGTTGTTCTTTGATGCCAGTTAAACAAGCCTAAGTTTGTAGGTTGAGATATCATCTGCTTTGAACCCTAGGACTTCCAAACATAACGAGGACAAACTTATCAAACAGTTCATCTCTGGGACAGGCAGGCATTTCAACTGAGGAACATGATTAAGACAAATGGGTCACTTTAGGTCTTTCTTCATCTAGGTCACCAAGATTTACTGATGCAAGCTTCAACTAGGCATTTTCTTTTTTTTGGTGGCACTTGGGTTAAACTCAGGGCCTCACACTTGCTACCACATGAGCCACTCTGCCAGCCCCATAAATGCCATTTCTGAAGAATTTTTATTTCTTTTATTTACTCTGTTCCTATTTTCTCCCTTGAGGGAACCAAAGGAAGATAGTTTTATGTAACACATGATTCCATCCACAGTATCTAAATTACTGCTTGCTTCTGTAATTTTGGAAGCTCATCAAGGTAATTTTGGAAGGAATGATGTTCTTTACAACACTTCTAGAAAGGATGAGAAATCTTGCTTTCTAGTGTTGCAGGTCATAATCATTGGTAATCTGTACTTCTGAATTTAACTTTCCAAAGTGAGGAAGCCAAGCTACCTAAATTAAAATCTGAAATTATGCTTTGTTCTTTACTATTGTATCCAGAAAATGGCCAGATGTTTTCAATACACTGTATTCTTAAGAGATTACAAGACACACAATATTTGACCCAAATGAACATTTCTTATTCAGCAATGAACTTAAAGGCTTACTTACTTACCTGTGACTTTTGTAGCTCTGGTGAGGCTTGCCATGATCTACTACCTTTGCCACACCATCATGTCCATCAGATGCCCCCAAAATATCCACCAGGCAAGAAACCTTCAGGGTGATTATGTGTGTGCTTTTTTTAATTGTATAATTCATTTATACAGACAGATCATTTGATTGATCTATTTACAGTCTTTTCCAATTTTCATTTTCATTGGCAAATATATTTCACATAATAGTTAACTTTGATACCATTATAAACCTGTGATGACAAAGGGCTTTAGACCTCCCTCTCCCTTTTAAGGACTATAACATCATTTTAACAGAAACATTCTGCAGTGAAGACTCACCAGTTTTCTTCCATCTTATGAATAAATCCAACCAAGATTGATCCAATATGGTCAATTTTCACACTTCACTGTTTCCTTTCAAACTCATTTGCAGGTATAATAAACTAAGGCAAATAAAGTTCACACCCTCTCCAGCCTTCTACAACTTACTATGTACCCTCAAGTTGAGCTTTTCCTATCTCCTTTCATGTTCTGGTACAACCAGACATTTTTATTGAATACAAAACTACTTTCTTTCCTCCTTTTACTTATTACCAGTCAATTGCCTTCCTTTTTGCTTTGCAGACAAAACTAAAACTTTCAACACAATCATCCCTTGAAGTGGTTTTCTTTTAGTAGTCTAGAATATACTGAAATCTTTCATATGTCTTCACCACCCTGAAATGCTACCCTATAAAAACTGCAACTTTCTTAATTGGCTCAAAAACAGTATGGCTTGGTTTCACTTGGTAAAGTTAATATGATTTAAAAAACACAAATATATATATATATACACACACACATACACATTTTTAATCAGGAAGAAAAACACTTTAAGAACATGCCAATTTGAAAGGCATCAAAGTAAAAAAATAAAAGCAAATACTAAAAACTACTTTACAATAAAAAAATTAAATAATTGGCAGGATAAATGAATGAAAAATGAGGAATGTGCAGTGAAAAACAAACTAAGGTAAAGCATTCCAGTTGATAAAATGGAAAACTTAAGTTTTATGGTTGTTTTCCAAGGAAGCTATGCTTCAACGTAAATTTTGAAATATTTCAAACATACATTCCATGTAGATTTTGGGTGCCAATGTTAAAGTTTCAAATTCTTTATGCAAGATTTAACCAAGAACACTGGTAGAATTCCATTATTTGCAAACTAGTAAGTTTTGACAAATATTCATGATGTATCCAGAATTAGGAGAAAATCTGTTCCATAAACATTTCATTTGATTAAAAAAAAAAAAAAAAAGGCTTGTATGTTCTAAATAATCCAAGAAATTATCTTTAAAAACAAAACAAAACCCTGTAATTTAACAGTAATCTGCTTATCTTTAGCTGCCATTAAAAAAAAAAAGAAAAAAGAAAAAAAAATAGAAAGGGGAAAAAAGAAAAAAAGGATAACCCAAACCATGAAAATGTTACAACTAGTACAAAGTAAGCCTACCTTGCTCCTGGTACAAGAAATAACTGTACACATTTATAAATAAACAGTCTTTCCACCACTTAACGCAGAGTTTCGTTTACACCAAAGTCTCTTTCCGTTTGCCACCTAACTGGGCTCTGTCCCTTGCTCTTCGGAAGCCCTGTGTTCGGTGTGCCTTCACACTCTTTGTGTCTTCTGCTGCCTGGACCCTGGAGCCACTTTCTGATGTACTTTCCTCACCATCTACCTGCATCACAGTGGAAACTATGGACGCCCTTCTCTGGGCTCTGATGTTCCCGACAGAGGGGTTGTTCTCTTCACACTCTTCATGGAGTTCTGGCAAACCCTGAAGCTCTGTTGAACTGGAGGCCTGCTGGAAAGGGGCAATGGCGGTTCGGATACAATTGAACCACTGCTGCTTATGGAACACATCATTGGCTTGTAGAGTGTGAGACTGGCCTGGAGAGGGGTCTTGGAAGCGGACTCTAAAGATATTTTTAGCTAGAAAAAAAAAAAAGGAAAAAATCAAATTATACTTAAAAATATGCTAATTCTGGAAAAGTGGTCATACAATCTTCACATGAGTGCTGGTATTTATGTAAAATGCACATTGTTAAAGTGCACTATAGCTGTATGTACCAAATAAAGGTCAAGGGACCATTTCACTTTGAAAATTCTTAAAGGTTCAGCCTAAATTCATTTAGATTCATTCATTACCTTTATCAGAGTTGCCAAAAGCCCCTCGAAAGGAACCTCCCATGCGCACATCCCCATCCTGCAGGTCTTCTAGCACCAGCTCCTGGACTGGGATTGGCTGCCGGTAAACCTGGTAAGAGTGACGCTCATTTCGCGTAACAGGCCGGGTCAAAACCAAGATGTCTTGAAACAGGAAAATGTAAAGTTTCTGGAGAAATGGAATACAAATGCTCTGTAAACATGGCACTTTGTGATTTTAAATGACTGAAATGTATTGCTAACAACTAGATTTAACATTATTAATTTCATCAGATTTATTTTCTAATATAGCCTTTATAAATGACTTCATAAAATAGTAATTTCAAGGCTACGCATGTTTTATTCACAAACTTCAAATCTCAAGACTATATAAAACTTTTTTTACTGTTGCTTTCTATCAGATTAAGCAACAGCTGAGTAAACATGCATCATAAAGATCTGACTTGAAACACCTGTATTGTATGACAGTTTTCTAAAAAGTAGGGGTAAAAAAAATGCATGCTGATAAAATGTTAAAGGTCCTATTTTGTTTATACACATTTAAATCTTTCTACAACAATCAGGCCTTGTGACAGAAATCAGAGATGTCAGATTTAACTTTTCCTAAAAGAAATCCCCAACTTATAAATTGGGCTTTTGAAAAGCACATAATGAAACAAAAATACCATTTTCATGATTGTACTTAGTCTTATTAGGTACTTTTATGTTTGCTTGCATTCAACCTGCTGCAGACATTTGTTGAATAATTCTAAAAACTACTTCCATAACTATAAAAACTACAAAAGTTTTTTGAAGGCTACGCTTTTTTTTTTTTGAGACAAGGTCTCACTATGTAGCCCAGACTGGAACTTGTAATCTTCCTGCTTCAGCCTCCTGAGTGCTGGGATTAGGCCACCATGCCTAGCAGGTTATGCTTTTTTTAAAAATTAAATATGGAATTTAGACAGTAACCTATAGTCAAACAAGCTGATTATGCTTCAAAACTGGAAAATGAATTATTACTGATTTTCTGAGACACTTAAGCCATATTATTCATTCTGCAACTACAGAAACTTAATTTCTGCTTTATCAAAGCTGATAACATATATAATCAGTAACTTTCTTTCATTATGCCATGAATTTATTTTTATAAACCTGCTTCATAATTTACATGCAAAAAATGTAACCAGGGTGGAAAAAGGAAAGTAATGGCTTACTTCCTGTTAGTATTCAAATACACTCACATGCCCATTTTTATTCTTCAGTTCTCCGTGGCACAATAGCACTTTACTTGCTTCAATTCTAGGATCCTTTGCTTCTCGTCCAGATACTCCAGTTTGTCAATGTAATACTGGCACTCAGATTCGCCTTTCTTCAAGTTGATATCAGCAAGAACTCCTTGTATTATCAATACCTAAAAGTTATCAAAAGAACTGATGGAACAACTTCAGTACATTAACTCATCCTGCTTCCCTAAAGGACAACACTGTCACAAAAAAATGACAGAATAAGGCTTGAAGTTCAAGTTGGAAGGGACTCTAGAAATCGGGCCTTTCCAGACTTTTGGAAATCAGTCAGGGCCTTCATTTTCAGAAGAAGCATTGCCAGCAAAACTGGGTGACTAATCCAAAGTCCCCAGTTTCCTAGTGGTAGAGATCAGATTAAATTCTAGTCCCTCTTGATTAAAAGTATTTATGTAAAATGTGAACACCACACATGCACATCTCCTTATTACTTGTTACACAGTGTGCTCATGTATTGGGTAGTTAAAAACAACAAAATAATTCACTATATTGATTCAATACACCTAAGATTTGAGAGTATCATTCTACACCTTTCTAAGGCAACCTATTGTATGAATGTGGAAATAAAACACTCATTTACTGGACTACTTACTGCTTCCTCCAGAAGCTGAACATCAGGGTGATCTTTTGGAGTGTGTTTAAGAATTTCTTTTAATAGTAAAGGGTACTTGACTAGGCGACTTCGAGGGATATCTAGGAAACTCCAAAGATCTAGTTTTCGACTGAAGGGAGACTCGAGACATCGCTGGAGGAAGTCTTGGACTCTTGGATCTTGTTTCTTTTGATCGAGAAGAGCTTTGGCTGCCAGCTGGTTACTACAGTAGCCTTTGTAGGCATTCAAACCTGGTAACTGAAGAGTAGTGAATAAAAAAAAAGTATGATGCATTCCTGTTATGACTGAGTGCATTAATAAGCCTGAACACAAAACATGAAATAACAGTACGGCTATTTCTGAGACCTAACCGTCTACGAACACTTCCCTGTAGATAATGGGAGTAGAGTGGTATTCTGGGCCAGTATCAGAACACTCTTTTCCAAGTTCCCTAATTTGGTTGAATTCAACTGAAGATTCATGACTTCTGCCTCCACCAATATCACTTAGATGCTAGTCAATTGTGTCTCCAGGGCACCTGAGCATTTTATATCACATTCATCACCACCCCTGACATTGTCCATGGGCCTGAATATTCCCTGTGAGGTTATAAATGTAGATGGTCTTTTGTAACCACTGCTTGAACAATGCCCAGCGTCTGGCAGACACTCAAAATGTTTAAGTAAAAAATGAAACAGACAAGCAACAGCATTTACTGTGGGGATTCTGTCCAAGCAGGAACATATTTGCAAGCACATTTATGACTCAAATGAAACTGTACCACTAATGAAGTGGGTTTTTTAAGAAAGACTATAACTACTTACTATCATTAACTTGTTTAGTCTTAATGCCTTATTGTTTGTAGAATCTAGTTATTACATCAAATTGATCTAATAGCCACCACAAATTATAATATGGCAAATATGTAAGAAATTAACTGGGGCTGGGTAATTAATTAACTGGCTCCCACCTGTAATCCTAGCTACTCAGGAGGCAGAGATCAGGAGGATCATGTTTCAAAGCCAGCAAAAGCAAATAGTTCATGAGAGCCTATCTTGGAAAAAAAAAAAAAACCTACCAAAAAGGGCTGGTGGAGTAGTTCAAGGTGCAAGCCCTGAGTTCAAGCCCCAGTATCACAAAAAAAAGAAAAAAAAGAACTGGGGTCAATTACTCACTACATACCCAATTCACAAGAATGTGCCCAATCTGCTCCACTGTTCCATCAGGCTTGGTTGCTTCTCCTATTCTTGCCAACAAATCTGAAGTGTAAAAAAAAAGCAAAAAAACCCAATAATAGGTTTATTAAAAAAAAAAAAATAGGCCAGCTCTACATTATTAGTTTAGATTTAAAATTACTTGTGTCAGTGCTCTTTCAGATATTAGTAAAATTAGGGCCATAGCTAACCTTCATGCAGAGGGATGTAAGCATCCAAATCACCAAATATGTGTGTGAGTTCCTCTTCTGACATGATAGACAACTTTAACATGGGGTCATGGTAGGCCTAATGAGAGGAAGAGAAATGTGTCACACAAAGATCAAGCAAAGGAACATGATTAGAGATTTTTACTTAAGTACATCTGACTAACTACATAAAAGCATGGATTTCACAAAAGAAACTAGTGTACATGTTAATTCCCCCAAAGGTTCTCTTACTAATACTCACATTTAAAGAGATGTGTCTAAATCTCATCTAAAAAATATATTCACCAGTAGGTATTTTTAACTTTCCTACTTTTAAAGGTTAAGAAACCTATCCTTGAGACTCTATGAAATGTAATTTTTAAGAACTAGGGCTTGTGATAAAAAGTTACTTACTAACCTTTCTTGCAAGCTTGAGATCCTCAATTAAATCCTGTTCACCTCGAGACATTTCATATATTGCCTAAAAACATCCAGCAAACAGAGGTCATTCCTTTGAGAAACAAAAATCACTGTAATTGATATTTACATTATTTAACTGATGTTTTGAACAGCTCTTTATTTAAGTGTCCTAGTCTGAAAAACTGTAATTCAGGACAGAAGCTCGAATAAGAGGTGTCATATTTTATAATTTTAAACATTAGAGTTGTTTAATTTATGACCATGACCCATCGGAAAGTGTTGCTTATCATGGGCTACGAATTATTGCTCAAATACAAATTTGCTACAGGCATTAGTTTGCCGCCCTGGAAAATTATACATTTAAAAAAATGAGTCCCTTTATAAGTCAATAAATATGGTTTTGGTATTGAGTATCAACATACCTCCTGACGCTTGATTTCTCTGGTGGTTAAAGACTCCTTCATAGTGATGTCTAACATCTCTGACCACAGTGTACTGCTTCTTCTCTTGGTAGGTGTTGGGACTGTAGACCTGCTAAATGACTTCTGGGCAGAGGCTGGGGATCGGTGGTCACCACGGAGGGTAAATGACTTAAAGAGGTAAACAAAAGAGAAAATGAGATTTGGAGGCTACAATAATTATTCTATTTCTTCTATTAAAGTGAGGAAAACTAAAAATAAAGTTCTGAGCGTTTCTCAATGCATAAAATAATTATTTAACTTTTAATCTATCATTTGAAAATACACACCAGCCAAAGTTACTTCTTGGGAATAAAAACTAATACGTCTGTGAAATAAAATGCAGATTAATATAACACAAACAATGTTCTGGTAATAACATTTCTTACCAAAAAGAAAACTTATGATTAAGTATAATTCTGCAAAAATGTTTGTATAGCTCAAAGGAAAATACAAATTTGAAAATGTCACCTGACTACATCTCTCTCCCTTCCCTCTTTTTTACCTGTATTGTTTGACCAAAACGTCTGACAGCTCCATTTCTTACAGGAGAGATTAAGTTTGCCAAGGATGTGACCCGAGCTAGAGGTCGAACTCTTTTATTGCTTGGTTCCTAAGAATACAAAACAAGATTAGAGTAAATGTGTGTTTAGGTGCAATGACTTCATACAAGCCCAGACAAAGCTAAGCCCTCTTATGAAACAATATCTGTACCTTTTAAGATAAAGCAGCAAGAACCTCTGAAAATGAATGTTGTTCTTCAATGTTAAAAAAGAACACTACTGCATAATAGCAAGATAATTCCATTTTCAACTACTTCAATTAAAAATAACCTTAAAATAAACATGTCTGACAATGGAATGGGTCAAAAAGTATTTAAGTCAAGGCAGGAAATGTTAAAAGCGCTTCCAGGCTCAGGAATCAGATGACCGACCTCAAATTCTGGCTCTTGAACTTGCTATGGCATAGCCTGGGCCTCAGTTTCCTTATCAGTCAAACAGGGATAATAATTGTAGAACCTCTCTTATAAACAATTAGATTCTCTTAGAATCTAATCTTTATTTACTTAAAGGAAAAATATATACAAATTCACAAGAAATAGTTATTAGTCTACAAGTATGATTTTATGATGGTAACAATAGCAAATACATCACTTGAAGATCTCAAAACTTTATAAAAATTTTACTATTCTAATTTTACTGCTAGCTGAATCGAAGCATATTGTTAGTTGACTCATAATTACTGAAGTAAAGATGTGTATTCTTTTTAATGTTAGTGGAGCATAATTATTTGTACATGGCCCCTTTGACTACTGTAGCATGTAATAATGTTGATGAGAATTCAGGATGTGTAATTTAAAATATTATTATGATCACCATTTAAAAATAAAAACTAACAGATAAAACAGTTCTTCTAAAAATTCTTTGATATGACCAAAGTCATGTAAAAGGAGTGGGGTAAGGAAACTGAATAAAAATAATCTTCTCGCTTAAAATAATTTAAGCATAAACTGACAGAAAAGTTAAAATTTAGAAAGAAACCTAATTTAGAAATATCCAAAGAAGCAATTAGACTTACCAAAATTCCTAAATGTGTACATTTATATCAGAAAGGAATGTGAACTACTGAAGTAGATATTCTGCTGATAATCAAGGAAAATTCAGAACTCTGACGGCTTTAATAGCTGAGCTGTACACCTTTTCCCATATTCCCCCCAAATAATTATCTGCAAAGTAAACTTTTGAATATGAAGACACTAATGTGCAAACATTAAGTGAACTGAAAAAGAAACCTCAGAGATATGCAGTAAAACGGCACACGCTGTATGGCAGAGGACATGTGTGAATGCCTTTACCACATATCTGTGCAGGCTGAGTGACACATGCGTGTGCAGAGGCCAGCACAAGGCATTCCTTTCCATTTAGTAAAGGCAGCACAAAGAGTCTCCTGTTTGAATGGGGATAGAATTACCTCACAAAGCAAAATATGCCAACATTAACTACACACAAAGCAGTTGTCAGAAAGTTCTCTTCTGCTTTTTGGAAATAGAGGTTAGCTACCCTTCCTGTTTAAAGCATAACTGATTTGACTTCCCAATAACTTACAAAATATTTAATTTCAATTTAAAAGTCTTTAGAAAGGTGCTCCTCCCAGTGAATTTGAATGGAGAAATTAGCTAAAAGGAAAGAAGTTTTTGATATTGTCTGTTTTATTACATGAAATACAATTAATGATAAATTCTTATCTTTACAGGATTAGTTGTTGGATAACTATTAACTTCTTAGTAATTCAAAATTATGTAATGTTTAAAATGAAGCCCACAGAATTTAGATAATTAAATGTAAAAACATCTAAAGCATGTTTGTGAAATATGGATTTTGTTTATGCAGTTTCTTTAGGATGGTAGATTATGCCAAGAAATATTTGGCGGTTAAATATTGTTTCACAGTTAACTACTTCAGGATACATACAGTATTTGCAAAGTATTATGGATTAAGCATTCATAGGTCACCTAAAAGGTAAGGACAAAAATCAGTCCTTTTGGGAATAGAGGATAGGGTTTGACCCCTGTGAGTTATAACCAAAAGTATTTTTTTCTTTATAGGTTCAAGTGAACCATTTTAATGATCTGAATTTAGTTATAAGAACATAAACACTTGCGTAACCACAAAGCATATTTCTAAGAAAATGTTTTTAAAGAATTGGTATTACACCCACATTCACGTCCCCCCGCAGACAGGACAGCTCTGATATTTGGTGATGATAAAAGGAAAAGGTGACAAAGGAAAGAGAAGCATGACTACACCTCTCAAAAAGGAAGCTCATATAAATGGTGCTATTTTATTAGAAACATGCTGTGAACATAAGCTGCTCAAAAAACAGACATGGATACTGAAACTTTCCCCAAAAGACAACCTGAAAATCTGTGGGAATAATAAAAAAGAATACCAACAAAGTTTACAGTCAAGGAACTTTCTACTATAGTCATTTTTTTTTTAACCAGGGCTAAAGTTCAGTTGAAGAGGGAAAAAAACCCTAATGCTTCAATATAAGTTTATGTTGTTTTCTTAGGTTAATTTTTAATCAGTCTATCTAGTTCAGTCAGTCACATGCATCATTATATGATATCTGCCTTGACATCAGGCTTTTACTTGTTTATTTTTCATAATCCACTTAAGAGTCTGATTTCATGCCCCAAAACATTTTCTGGATATTTATTGACAGAAAATTCTTAAAACTAATTTAAAGTTTTTTTTTTTTAAATTGGGATATATCTTACATACACATGCAACATGGAAAAGTCTTGCTGTGAATTTAGCTTTTTGTAAAAAGTTTTTTTTTTCTTTTTGGTGGTACTGGGGCTTGAACTCAGGGTCTTCACCTTGGGCCACTTCACCAGCCCTTTTTTGTGAAGAGTTTTTTTGAGATGGGGTCTCGTAGAACTATTTGCCTAGGTTGGCTTCGAACCGTGATACTCCTGATCTTTGCCTCCTGAGTAGTTAGGTTATAGATGTGAGCCACCAGCACTTGGCAAAAAAACAAAAAAAAAAAAAATTTTTTTTTTAAATTACGCCACAGGGAATATTTTAGGAGGGTCTCTTCTATATTTAATCAAATCAAGACACTTTTAAAAGTCAGTATGTGTCTCAGTTTGTTTTGGGTTACTTAATAATTCCCCTACCTGGCAAACAATTTTAAAATCAGAATAAAAATAGTTATTTTTTAAAAAGATAAAGATGAGTTATGATTACATGTGATTTCTTCCCTTTCTTCTTAGAAACTTCAGAAACACTCAAATTATTAAAGATATATTCCTAGCTCTAAAACCCTGACAACACTACTGGTGCTTTTAATCTTTGAAATAAAGATTGCCAGAAACATGGCCCATGTCTAACAAAAAAGACTAATCCTTGATGGTCCAAAATATGACTAGCTTTAGTATTTGTGCTGATGACCATGTATGAAGTGTTCTACTCAAAGAAATTGCTCACAGATTTCAAGAAAACTGAAATATATAAGCAAAACCCTGAACCAAACAATTAAAAAACAAAATCCAAAGCCAAACCAAAAAGATGATCTTGTTTTAGCTACCAAAAAGCCAATGTGTATGTATATTATTGAGTTATATAAAATTATGCATTTAAAATGTACAATTATGTTAGTTTTGACTTATGTATATAGTCACAGAGCCATCACCATGAGAGAAATAAAAACAGGAACTCCATTTCTATCACATAAAAATATACACGCTGCAGCATGCAGTATAAATAGAATACCATATAGCATTAAATCAACTGTAAAGATTATATGAAACATCATAAAATAATTTGATTAATTTTGACAAATGTTCATAAAGACTTTAAAAAGTCAAAATGACTTCCGATAACTAAAAGCAAGGAGGGTAGAATGTCAGTATTTCATTGGTTTAGCTATTTTAACACATCCTTTCTTCCTGAAGAAAAAAGGAGCACACAATGAACTAATTAGATGTAGAAGAAAAACAAACATGTGCCCTAAGTCAGACTTTACTTGCAACTTGCTCACTAGCATTAACTTTATTTTCCCTCTTATTCTATTAGAGAAGTTACTAAGATTTGGTGATACAATTCAAATTAAAAAGCAAAACCACATTAAGCATTGAAAACATGACAAATTTAATCCTTTTCACACTCAAGCTATGCTATATATAAACCTATGTTTATTTAAACTTAGAACAGTTCCTAAACATATTTCAAATGTGCCTATAAAACAAAGTCAGGCATCAACATGTAATAAGACCGAAAGTTTAAAATTCGTTAACACACTGTGTAAACCTTTAGAAGTTCTGTGAAGTTATAAAACTTCCTTGGCCTGTCTCTTAGTCTTACCTCTTGTTCTCTGAAGGACTGGTTGTTAACATCTAGGACCCGGATAGTCCTTTTAATGGGTAGGAGGCCTCCAATCTCATCATGCGCCACCATGCTTCACCAAGTATCCCTTCAGCCCTCTCCAATTAATGCACTGTGAGCCAGCCCGTCAGGAAGCCCCGTGGAGGCGCCCGGGCTCTTTGGCGTGCTCAGCCACCTTCAGCAGCCATGTGCCCATGCCTCTGGCTGACGGAGATGCTGGCCGTTTGTGTGAAAGCCAGGGAAGGAGGCTCAGACCTCCGGGCTCTGGGGGCGTGGCCCGAGGCCACGTGACTGGCCAACAGCCAGCCAGGCACACCTAGGCTTCCCAGCATGTGCTATGCGGAAGAGGCTCTTTATCAAAAGGGATGGTAAGGGCGCTGGGTTAATGTCAGGCAGAAACTTAGTGACTGAAAAAGCCTTCCCGAAGGAAATGAATCGCTGAATTATATACTCTAGCACTTACTCACAGACAACGATCCTTTTTCTAAAACTCTAGGGTAAAGAATTTAGTACAGCTGACACTTCAAGCAAGGCAGGGATTTAGGGTTAAAAAACCATATATTAAAGAGAAGCCAACAGAAAACTTTTATTATACAGAAGTGCAAGCATATCCACAATCATAAAATTACCTCTTTATGAAATGGTTCCCACAGGGATGGTGGGGAGAAGGCTCACACAGGGTAATGGAGTGAATATGACTTAAGTATGTTATTGTCATGTATGAAAATGTCACAATGAAACCTAATATTTTGTAGTTATTATATGCTACTAACAAAAATCACTTGAAGGGCTGGAGATGTAGCTCAGTGGGAGACCACTTGTCCAGCATAAGAAAAGGCCCTGGGTTGATCTCCAGCACCCCACCCTCCAAAAAAATATCAACTGAAAAAAAGAAAAGGTTCCTAACATTTTGTCATTTTTCCTGAACACCAGCAGGGTAAATTATACTAGGCACACTTCTCTATTCCTGAAGCAAGTCTCCTACTGGGTTATGGGTAAAGTGGAATTGGGCTGCTTCGGATTTTCAGGTTCACTGTTTCTTAGTCTTACAGCAGGTATATTTTCCTGTACGTTTAAAAATTTAAGATCTGTGTTGTAGATGTTTTATGCTATAAAAACATAAAAGCTGATTTGTCTACCAAGGTCTTCTCTAAACTGAATTTTGGATTTTCTTCTATTTCTATTTGTATGTACTAAGTGTACAAAGTTATGAAATCTCTATACGTGCAGACAATGGATTTTGGTCATATTCAGACCCTCCATTGCCTTCTTTATTACCTTCCCTCTCCCCTTTCTCCCTTTGCACATCCTTAGCAGTGATCCTCCCTTTACTTCCATGCCCTTTCCTCCAATTGGTAACGGTGTAATAGCACCAAAAGACCTATTCACGAAGGCCTGCATTACACAGGCGAAGAAATCAGTCTCCTGAAGGTGAAGTGACCAGCCTGAAGTCACTCACTACTGACAGTCTCTAAGTTTCTAGTCTAAAATCTTTTCTCTGCAGAACACTATTTCTGATGGTTTGGTAGGGCCTGCTATGAAGCGTAAAGTACTATATTTTATTCTGAATGGTAGGATTTTTAAAAACGACACACTACTATGAAATGATGCTAGTAACTTGCAAAAACACTTTTATTCTTAGCATTTATTTGCGTAAGAGAAGTTTACTATGCAAAAGGCACTGTTCTAGACACTTGCATGCTTAAAAACAGGTTTCCTATCTGCTCTTGAAGTGCTAATGCAATAAGCCTGCCTTATTTGCAGATTTATTACATGCAGTTTTGACCAAGTTCAGTCAAAAATAAAAAAATTTCAAACCAAAAAATTTTTAATTCCTGTGTATTCATTGTGTAGGTCAGTTGATGCCAAGACACTCAGTCAGTCCTGCATTATTATTAGTTGTTCATAAATTACGTGATCTGTTGAGTATTCCCCTGCCCTTAGTCTTGTGAAAAATATGCATCTCTAAAATTAAATCGTGCCCCCAAAGCAAGGCAAAAATGAATGTGCTTAAGTGATAAAGTAAAAATTTTACACTTGTTGAAAGGTGTTATTCTTAGTGGAAGTATGGGAAGGACCATCACTGTCCTGAAGCTAACAGTGTTTTCCATACACAAGATGATTTTAGTGATTCGCTTTCTGCTTTGAATTTTAAAATTTTTAGGTGATGGAGACTGGCTGCATTTTATCATTCATTCCCTATTATTTGGTCACACCTGGGCAATATTTGTGATGTGGCTGGTCTTAAGAGTGAACAACTATTTATCAAAGCATTAAAGTGGAAGCACCTAGAAATTGTGGACTCCAGTTCCTTAACTTTACAGGTAAGAACACTGATTTACTTAAGTTCTCAGAGATAACATGAACAGCCAAGGCTAGAACCAGTAGGTAGTGAGGTTCAGTTAACTTCACTGGTTAAAAAACGGGGCAAGTGAGGCCAATACTTTATGGTCATATGGTTTTATAAGGGAATAAAGGATTATGAGCACAGAAAGTTAGGAAAGAAGTTGCTCAGGAGTTCTCATGGGTCTCTTACCCAATATCTTTCTTAAAACTGTTTTTATGTTTAGTTTTGACTGAAGTACAACCAAGATAATGAGGGGAAGGGGTATTTTTCATTTTCCTCTTTTAGTTGGTGGCTCAAGAGGTAAAGGGAATCAACTTTATCTGTACAAAGAAAAAGCCTACACAAAACAAATAGGGCATAGTGGTAAAGAGTATAGTAAAAACCAGCTCATCAACACTACAACCTTAGTTTCATTTTAAATGTACAGGTTTATGGTCTAAGTTAGACGACTATAAATAAAATCTAAAAAATAAAAAGAACGATGGACATGTAGATGTTTAATTAGCACTCTGAGATCATTAACGCATCTTCCTCAGTGTTCTCCAGGGAAAACTGAAGGAAAGTGGTAAAAACCAGAAAGGAAATTCAAGGTCTACTCCATGCTAGAATAGAGCTCTATGTTGCCCTATTTGATCAATTCTATAAAGTACTCATAATCATCACCATTTTAAGGTGGAGGACACTGGTATTCAGAAAGTTTAAGAAACTTGCTGAAGATGCCTACTTAATCAGTGGCTGGAGACAGATTTGCATCTGGTTTGTTTGAGTTTATCATAATACATCTTCCAGAGAAGAATATACATATAAAACCTGTAGCATATGTTCTAGTAATACTAAGTACTCAGTAAGTGTTAGCTAAATTCAGTGATTTAACAGTAGAGCTAGGTTTAAAATCTGAGTCTCTTTTGTCCTATGTGAATGTTCACTAAATAACTGCCAACACTATTTCTCAATAAATTAAAGAAAACCATAAAAAGCCAAGAGGGTAGCTGGCTTACAGCCTTTTTGTAACAAGGTGCAGGGTGGGTAAAAGATAAAATATTTTCAGTTGTTTAAGTTTAGGAGAGACCTTATTTTAGTCAGTGGTAGCACCTTATCATGTAATTAATAGCAACTACTTACACAGCTTCTACAAAGGTACAACCAAGGCACAGACTGATTGTCTTTTCCTTGTATAGAAAATTTAGAATTTATAAACTTTTAATAACAAGAATGCAGTTTGGTAAAGGGATCAAGTTTTTGAGAAGATTGCTGATTTCCAAAGACCGAGTTTAATTATAGCACTTCTTCAGTGCTTTTAATGTCTTTTTTTCCTCCTAAAACTATGAAAAAGGACTATTAGGCTGCTTACCTCTTCCTCCCCTTTGATGTGAAAAATGGCTTACAATTTAGAAATAAATTTGAATTTCAGAATAATCATTAATTTTTTGATCTAGATGTAGTTTTCATTTACTTTTATCTGAAATAATGACATGTAATTAGAAATTAGGTTAGGAAAGTCTCACGAATGGCCAAAGAGAAAACAAAATTTAAGTTCTCTGCTGCCCTCTACAGGGGATATTGTGAAATGCAATGGTTGGCCTGTTGTTTTCAACCTTTTAATTAGTTTGTAAGGACTTTATTTTAGATGAGTACATAAACAATTCTTTTAAACTGTAGAAAAACATGAATGACAATAAAATTTGTATCTTTTGTCACTATGTTTTATACAGTAAGCCCACCTTATGTGGGAATTGTTACATGTGTTCTGACAAATGTGGTCAAAAGGTTAAAAAAAAAAAATCAAAAGAAATTTCAGAATGATCTGCTGAGTATTCCCATGTCCTTAATTTTGTTTTCTGTAAAGCAAATGGTACCCCCAAAGCAAGGTAAATTATGGTAACCCTCCCAAACCCAAATGGGCATGTAATGTACTTAATTGAAGTGACAGAGAAAAATCCTAGATTCGTTGAAAGGCAGTTTGTCCTTAGCAGAAGTTGGGTGGTGTGATGAGAAAAACAAATGAAGTATCCACAGCTCTTGAGAAGAAAAGAGCATGAAATAAGGCCTAGTCTGTAACGAGCACGACAGTTATTTTTGTGACAATAATATGTTCTCTGATTTCAAATTGCAGATGTATAGACATACGTTATGGTATAGATAAATTTGAGTGGTTTTAGAGTGTTGAACTCTATGCATCCTAGCCATTACAGGTTTTTTTCTCAATGGTTGTCTCCGTGAACCATGTAACTGCCAATACCAAGTAATAATGTGTTACTACATTAAACATACATTTAAAACTCATGTATGTGTATGAAAAAGAAAACTATGTTCCATTTAAAAACTCCAGAGTTAGAATTTATCTACTGTGCCTCACACTAAAAACAGATTTGTTAAAAATAGAGTTTAAGATATTACTAAAAAAGAAGTACTGACTGAAAAACAGAACTTTTGAAAAACTGAGTTCCAAAATATTTAGTAATAAGTTAAAAACACACACAAAAAGGCAGATACATTTGGACTTGGTAATTATGAACAACATGGGTAATGAAATTATTTGTGGATTTGAGTTTTTAAAAATCATGTGGATTAAAAATTAAGAGTGTTTCTAAGCTTCAGTAAGAATTTGGTTTAGGGAAAGATCAATTCGGATAAATGAAATACTTCTAGAAAGAATTATATAAACAAAATAGTCCAATAGTTTGGTATCTTCAAAGCAGTAATTATTGTTGCAATGACAACACGAATAGCAAATAAAATGGTATGTGCCTTTGGTGGTGACTTTTTATCTCAAGTACACAGTATAACAAATGACTTTGAGTATAATGTAAATTCGGGTATTCTTGTGTAATAGGGTTTAGTACATTACTCCCACTTTCCCTGA